ACTTCAGGATATGCTTTCTTACTCAGTGATGGTGCTATTACTTGGAGTAGCAAAAAGCAGTCTTGTACAGCATTATCCACGATGGAAGCTGAGTTCATTGCATGTTCAGCATCAGTTCAAGAGGCTGTATGGCTAAGGAGGTTCTTAGAGAGCTTACAAGTCACAAGAGAGGCTTCGTGTCCTGTGACTATCCATTGTGATAGTCAAGCTTGTATCGCTTACATGAAGGACTCCAAGTATCATGGAAGGACAAAACACATTGAAATTAAGAATAATTTCGTTAGAGACATTGTGGCAAAGAAAGAAGTGGTCCTTAAGTACATATCTACGCATAGGATGGTCGCTGATCCATTTACTAAGCCCATTCCTAGAGATGTGTTCCTTCGAGCGTTAGGTTTGCGTAGAGTTTGATGTATGTAATAATGGAGCTTTGTTATTTGACATTGTATTTATGTTTGATATTTAATACATATCTAAGGATATTTCAAACATTTTACAATGGTCTCTTTTAGTTTGCATACTTACATATAAATTTTGAGAAGTGTCCCCAAGTTAGAGATTGGTTCACTCACATGAACAATCGCCTTAGATTTCTTTGTGAAAGGCTAAGATGAGACGTGATGAGTTTGGCGCTAGTGGGAGCTTGCTTTATATAACTTATCAATGTCGCCTTAATAAGAAGTTAAGATGAGATATTTTTTTTCAAATATCGATCATGATTGTCCCAAAATCATGAATATTTGGCATAGCTGGATAAATACATAATCAGGCGCTAGAAAGCGAGCTGGTAGTAGCTTGATCCATATAGCGGTGCTTGGTTTATTCAAAAGGACAATACTCTTAAAAGAAGAGGTAATCGCTATAGCATGTGAGTCATACCACATGTGCTAATACGACCATATAGGAAGCAAGTGATATTTTTTTTTATAATCCCTATCTCTTGCAATGTGAATTCCTATTAACTTATTTATGGTTCCAAGGTTACCCTTGAACCTTCGGCTATGTTTTGAAGGGATGAGCTAATGTTTGCTACTTTAGTATGTTTTTCGACAGTGATGAAATAATTAGCCTTATGAAACATGCTAGGAAAGCAGTTAGTTCAGATCCGATAGACATGAGAAAGGAAGGGAAAACTGTTTGTTTTTATATTGACATATGTGTTTGCTGGCCAGCCACTATATCACTCAACTGGAGTTTGTATATAGTGAACAAATGATGTAAGAAAATGTCCAACATATGCTTTAGGGATAAGATATGTTATGGCTGATATAAAAGACAAATGAGTTTGGGAAACGGCGAGACATGCTGAAATTCAAATTTTTTTTTTCTTAGGGTTGTAGCTTGTATGTATCCCTAACAGGTGCATATTTTAGCTCCCAAGTGTAGGTGTATTCGCAAGGGTCGCACGGTTCATTTGCCATATGATTTCCAATTTACGATTCTCAAGCTTAGTCTCTAATATTTCTTCAATGCTTGTTATGCTCCCTATCATGTGCGAGTGGGAGATATTGGTTTATGGTCGGTTTGTGCCCATGATTTGGCAGCATACCAAACTGGTTTGATTAAACCAGTAGTTATGAGAAATTGGTTCTTATAACTTCCCTATATGAAGAGTTGTGACTCTTCAAATTGTATATCTTCAATATGTATATATATGAGACATTGCAGAGAGAATTTTGTGTCTGTTTACAACAGTTTGTGACTGTTGGTAAACAAAGAAATTACAGAAGAGAGAGAAAACGTTTTAGAGAGAGAAAACTTGGAGAGATCAATTAGAAAGGCATTTGAACGGTGATAAGTGGTTGATTTCCATCTGTGATCTCTTCCCCGATCTCTGCATCCGTTTTCAAATCATACCGAATCATATTTATCGCTAAACCGGACTAAGCTATGTTTTCGGTTTAAACGCTTCCGCATAAAACTCTTGATTAGATATTGACAGATTTTTTCTTCTTCGTTAAGCCGTCAGTGTTGATTATAATCGTATATGTGTCAACTTGGTTCTGTGATTGTCTATGTCATCATAAACAGCAACATTCCCAGTGCTCTCCATAGTTGATCCCTAGTGCTGGTCTTTATGGAATCACAATATATTCCGTAGGAAAGATCGACAAAGACCTAGAGAAGAGAGGGAGCCTGCCACGACTAAATTAGTCTGACATTACCATCCATGTTCCATGCTGATTGCAAAAATACACTTATTAGTATCTAATGACTACAAATCTCAGGATTTGGACATAAACTCGGTTCTATATAAACCGTATGCCTTAGAAAGATGGATTGTCGACAAAAAATATAAACCACATGCATATATAGAAGTTATATGTCTCATGTCTGTGTTTCTATTTAAAACGAAAGATCGATCTTTATGAGACAATCTCTTTTTCTAAGACATTTTATTTGGTTTACTTAGTTATAACTAAGGCCACACCGCGAAAAACAAGTGATTCTATAACGTCGAATTAAGTCAATGATCAAATGAAGCAAGAACAAAAAGTCAATATTGAAGATACAATTGAAGAAGGAAACTTCAACGAAAGCAAGTGAACATCAGAGTTTTATAACAATGAACCCAAGAAATCGATTTTGTATAGTTGGTCTGCAGAAATCGATTTAACCGACATATATTGGTTCAACGTGTGAGTCATTATAGTTTTCTGTTTTTGTTTTTTGTAATACTAATTCTCAATAATTTCGATCGTTTCTCGAATATCTGCTAACTGTTAGATTGATCAGTAACAAGGCTATAGACTTTTGAGCGTCTCAAAATTGAATTGTCAGGCTCGTATACAATTGGAGACAATCTATATAAACATTCCCAGCGTTACAGTTTACAAAGCCATTTTAAACCAACAAAAAGAAAAATGTTTCAGAGTCACAGCTATACAAAGCAACATAAGCATCAAATCTTTGTGCCAGCAAAGAGAATTCTAGCTTTTAATATTAGTTTAAGAATTTTCTATTTTTAAATGTAAATAATTCAAAACATATGATTCATGGCAGAATAAAAATTGCGACGTATAGTTGCTGCCTGCCGAGACATGAATGATAGGTGAAAACAATATACTATATAGTCTATAGTATATTTATGCTACAACAGTTGAAATAAATATATAAATATATATATATATATGTAAACAAAATACCATGCATGATGGGTTGGTGGTTTTATTATAATACAGTTCATATTAAAATGAAGACAACAACACACTCTACAACATATCATCACATAGATTTAGAGCTTAACATTCTCCACAATTTTACTCACATATACATATACAATAACAAATTCTAATATTAAATAATTTATGGTGGTACAATGGTAAATGGCTCGACTTCACAATAGAGTTAGGAAGTACAGATAGGGAATTAACATTCGAGTATTTTTCATAGTTTGCAACAATATAATATTCGATATTCTATAGATTTTGAATATTAATCTACTTGTTCCTGGGAACTATTTTTTTACCGAAACTTTATTTAAAAATGTGGGTGACCAAAATAAAGAAATAAAGAAAACCGCATACAAAAGGGGTTGTAACATATGATTAAGTTGATTTGAAGTTTTGAACTATATGAGAAAGAGATAATGTGTGTCCTTCTTGTTGTACGAGAAAAAAAACAAAGATTGAAGAGTATTCCCTCTTAGGCTTTTGAGATTTAAAAACTTTGAGGAAAAGGCTACAATGATTGAAGAGTATTTGGTATTTACAGATAGTACTATTGATATAATAAATCATGAAATTATTATAACTATAATGTAGTCTTTACTAAGCAAGTTGTTATAGTTGCTAGATAATTATGCGGTAGCCCAAGAATTTTTAAGTTCCATTTTTGCCCCTACGATTTAATGATTTCTCTAACTCTGTAGTCTGTACCCTATCAAATAAATTCGAAGCCCATCAAATAGGTAATAAACGATATTCCCCACAAAATAATGGAATGCATTATATATAAATACAAACAAAAATAATAAAATCTCTTGCAGAATCATGAAAGCATGGGTTCATAATTATTATTCCATTAACGTATAGTTGAAAGACACTCTAAAAATTTCAAATTTAAATTTTTTGCATGCCTTAATAAGCTCGCAATGATTCCAACTATTCCTACTTTTCTGGTTTCATTTTGTTTCTCACTATATTTTCTCCTAACAATTAATTCAATTCGATTTTTTCTGTATTTGTTGTATATAGAAAATAAATTTAATTTGACCAAAATTTTCCAATTTATTTCTACATCATTATTCATGAGTAAGACTTTTATTTTTAGTTTCAAATAAGAAACAAAATAAATTAACAGTTTGAACATATATTAGTCCAAACGTGGTCTGCTTAAGGAAATCTGAATATTCCTATATTGTATGTAAATCATCCAAATAATTAAATCTTCGACATCAATAATTATTAATACAATAATAATTAGAAACGCGTTTCATAAAAAGAAAAAAAAACCTAACTCTGTTTTGTGTTCCAAAGTCGTAACCTTTACCTGCTCCATTATCCATGGACAACACAACACACACACACACTCTCTCTCTATCTCTCTCGTTTTATATCATCCACTTCCGTACCTGTCGCCTTCAATTTAATCGCATTTAGTCTTACGCGTTTCGCGTCCGACATTGCGTCGGTGAAACTCTTCTTTGACTCAAAAGTCTCAACTGAAAAAAAACAAAAAGCTTCCATCTTTATCGTCTAAAATCGAAAAAACTGACCTTCACTCCGACGAATCTAATCTCCGGCAGATTTTTCACCGGGAAATGCAGATTCTTGCAGAGAGGTTTTTACTCTATACTCAAGCAAACGTTTTCGTGGAAACTTTAATTCTACTTTTTAATCAGTTGTTTTTTGCGAAATGTTCGGTGAAGAAAAGCTAAGACTTTTCCTGATTTTTTGCTCTTTTCCGATCTCTTTCCCTTTTTAACGTTCTCCGTGATAGTTCGCCTCTCTTTTTGCCTTTTTTCTTTCTTTCTCTCAGTTCTTAATTCTTGTGGTGTCGGTAGCGCAATTGCTACGTTTGCGTTTGTAAACGCTACTGGAAGTTAACTTCTTTATGATTTTTGATTCGAGGGTCCAAAGTTGGTGTCATTAATGCTTCTGATTCGACGAAATTTATTTGCTCTTAATTCTCTAGATTTTTTCTTTTATTTCCCAAGATTTTTGTTTTTTTTTTCCTTCATAATCTCTTTCAAACTCCAAGTCTTTTTGTAAGAACACAAAAATTCAGCAAAGGGTCTCTTTTCGATTCCCAAGCTTTCTCCTCTAAATAACTTATTGGTTTGTCTTGTGTACTTAAAACTATTCATTGGTTCTTCTTGGACTTGCTTAAGAAAGTTTATTTGTTTAACTTTGTTAACTTAATTGTTTGATGTTTCAGGCGTTGAAAAAATGAATCGGAACCGAAGAAGAAACGTTAATCAGCCTCACGGCGTTGGGAGACAGATTCCAGGATGTTTGGGTCGGATGGTTAATCTATTCGATTTTGGAACAGTTGGTAATGGAAAGAAATTGCTCACTGATAAACCCTACTTTGATGATGGTTAGGTTTCCTCTGTCGCTTAACCTTTTGGGGTTTTAAAGTTTTAGTCTTTAAGGCATGATGTTGAAATTGATGATGATGATGATACAGGGTCTATCAAGAGGAATCAATTTGATCAAATAGAGGATAACGTTGTGAGTTTCTTATACCTGTGAAGACAATTGCTTTCTCTTGATTGTTTTTGTTTTATCTAATAAGAACTTGTTCATCTCTTATGTTGATTGTGTGAGTGCAGGCTTTGAGGAATGATTGTACCTTTGGAGTCAATGGAACACCGATGAAGAAGCTTCTTGAAGAGGAAATGTCGAAAGAAATTGAATTTAAGCTCGGTTCGACGAATTTGGTTGCAAAGCTAATGGGTCTTGATTCCTTTCCTCAGACACCACAACCTAATGGAATTGCTCAGAGGAGTAACAGCTCAAAGTCTCGGCTAAAGAGATCTTTAAGCCAGGGGGAATATAAAGATGTCTATGAGATTTGGCAGAAACCTGGGGAAGATTTAAGCAAGAAGAAGATGGACTTGGTCCGTGAAAAGTTCTTGGAGGCCAAACGTTTGGTTACAGACGATAAACTTCGACATTCCAAGGAGTTTCAAGAAGCTATGGAGTATTTGAGTTCCAACAAGGAGTTGTTCCTCGAGTTTTTGCAGGAGTCGAATAACTTCTTCTCTCACCATCTCCAAAGTTTCAAGTCCAAAGCACCACCAACCCCAGAGAAGTCAAAGCGGATCACTATATTGAAGCCTTCAAAGTTCATTGATGATGCAAAGTTAGGAAATGAAGCAGCCATTGATTCTTTGGGAGACTGTATGAAGAGTGAAAATGGTCTTCATTTGTTCAATTGGCCTGTTGAAGAAGAACATCCGACAAAGCAATCAACTCGAATAGTTGTTCTGAAACCTAGTAGCCATGTCACAAGGGCTTCATCATGTCCAACATCTCCAAGAGGTTTACCTGTGGATGAGTCAAATGATGTGGCTAGGAGGGTGAATAGACAGATGCTTAGAGAAGAAGCTTTACATTCTTCTCTCTTCTCCAACGACGATAGTTCTCTTAACCGATTTGAAGATGACTATCCAGAATCTGAAATCATGTCACCTGTTTCTCGGCATTCATGGGATTATATCAACAAGTACGAGAGCCCTTTTTCTTCTTCTTCACCCTTTAGCAGAGCCTCGGGTTCTCCAGAGTCGTCATCAGTCTGCAGAGAGGCCAAGAAACGGCTTTCTGAAAGATGGGCATTGATGGCAACTTCCAGTGAGAATCTGCAGGAGGCCAAAGTTGTAGAGAAGAAAGGCGCTAATAGTACTTTAGGTGAAATGCTTGCACTTTCAGATCTTAGAAATGAAGAAGAAGAAGAAGAAGCAAACGATGGTAATGAACAACTGGATCCTAGAGTGTCTGCATCTTGCTTAGCTGGTAATGAACAAAGCAGGTTCAAGCCTCTTAAAAGCCTTACGAGGTCAAAATCTCTCCCTGAATCATCGACAAGTGTTGGTCACAAGGCCCTTCATGGCAAAACCAAAGCTCCTGAGGAGTTGACAAAGTCAAAGAGCTTGAAATGGTCTCTGAAAGGTAAAGTCTCAAACTTTCTGTTCTCAAGAAACAAGAAAGCCAGTAAGGATGAGGAATCCCAAGTAGTAAACTCTGAAATCCTGGATTCTCGTTCTAATGGTGAATTTGATGCATCCTTCTCTGCCAGAAGCATGAATTCTCAGGAGGTATTGTAATCATATATAACACATTTGCTGATTTTAATCCATTCATATGTTGGATTGTATTTACGAACAAAGATATATTTTTTTTCCTTATGTTGTGTCTCAACAGGGAGGCTTATCAATTGCAAAGTCGACAACTTTTGGAAACTCTAGCGAGTGGCGTGATGAGCCGAGTCCAATATCGGTCTTGGAAACTTCTTTTGATGAGGATGATGGAATCTTTTTTAATTCCTCTGTTTTGAATAGATCATCTGCTTCTCTTGGTAAGCTTTTTCATCTAAAAAGCTTCACTCTTTTTCCTTATCTCGTTTCATATGGATTCCTTATTAAACCGGAACATCTTGGAAAAACAGAACCGGAGATGATGTCCATGAGATCCAACTTACTAGGCAAATCGCCTCCGATAGGCTCCATTGGTCGGAACTTTTCATTCGAAGACTCAACAGTAGCTCGGTGCTACTCATCAAAACGCTCTCCTACTTTCACAAGAGACGAGGAAGAAGACTTGCGTCTCCTCATCAACACACTCTTATCAGCAGCTGATCTTGATGAAGAGTCAGAGTCATCGTCATCGTCAATCTTGGACAGTCTTTTGTCTAAATGGTATTCCGTAGAAAGCCCATTAGACCCATCTCTGAGAGACAGCTACGCAAACTCACATCAAAGACTAGGATCAAACGTGAAGAAGCTTGTGTTTGACCTCGTGAACTCACTGCTCTTGGAGCTAACACCTAGCTATCTCGGACCACGTAGTAGTCCCATGGCTCTCTCTGGTAAGACATTGCGGGTTTATATAGTAAACCGGATGCAAGAATGTTTAACCGGTAAAGGAAGAGTGGAGGATCGGTGGTGGGATGAAGATGGAGACTTGAGCAGTTTAGCAGTGAATAAAGTGGTGAGGATTGAAGTTGCAGGGATTGGTTCACCGGAGAGTTTGGGATTTGAAAAGGATTCCATGGGAGAGGAATTAGAGTTAAAGTTGCTGGAGGAATTAGTGGAAGAGGTTTTGATGGATTTGTCTGAAGAACCTAAATTACTCATTCCAAGTATTTGTTAATCATATGAAATGTAAATTATATGGTCTTATCGTGTGTATAAATATATGGTGAATCTCACATTGTATTTTTCTTTGTCTGGTTTCTGTTTTGGGTGAATGAGAATGGGAAGTAGTGTTATATTATGTAGATATCGCCTCTATATTTATACTAACTTCTCAAGATTGTTGCAATTTCAATTTTGATTTATTGCGTTTGGGTTATAAATAGGTATTTCTCTACCACTTCCTGGACGGTTTTTGTCTTTGTTACTTGCATCACTCTACTAAAATGGACCAATGTGTGAACAAATTTGAGTTTAAAAAAATAAAAGCATGTCTTTAATAAAGCTTGTAGATTATCATTCTGATCAATCATCAAACTTAATCAATAGAAGAATGTAAATGGAAACAACAATGCTTCTTCACATAATCTATCTTTCTCCGAATTAAGAGCAACAAAGTGGATAAGAAAGAAAATAACAAATTTCCTCTTATATAAACTCAAAAACCCTCTAAAAGAGTCAGATTTTTGCCTTCTCCTTGCCAGCTCAGTACGAAGTCAAATCTTTAGTTGACTTTCCATGTATCTTATAAATCGACGGTTAAATCGTTACTTGTGTTTGGTTATTAATACTTATCTTAGGCTTGTTATTTATAAAGGTTTTGGATCGATGTGAAACTAATATTATATTTAATTTAGTTTAACGATAATTGAGTGTTGTTCCGGTAATAAGGGATAAATCGGTGTTTATAAAGAGGGAGCTCAGAGATTTTTGTTAGGTAAAACTTATAGATCGCTTGCTTTAGAAACGATATTGATTAATGGTTTCAGATCGAAGTCATGATAAAACTTGATATCTGAAATTGTCGAACTGGCTTTATCTATTCTTTCAGAACCTTTACAATGATTTTCATATCTTTACACTAATGAAAATATTCTGCTATTTATAATGGCAATAAAGATGATAGATTAAGTAACAGATCAGGATAAGGCGTACGATCATATAGAGTGTGGGTAGAGTGTGTGTAGAGTGTTGAGAAAATGAGTATTGTGTATTGCATTATAAGAGAATAAGTACAACATATATATACAAGAGTAGATACGTGAGGAAGAGAAGAACCCTAGTAATACACGAGATTCTCTAAATATAGACAAGATATTCAAGTATCCATATTTATTTCTTATACGCCCCTCAAGATGAGCGACCGTTGGAGAGCCCAATCTTGCAATTCAAATCTTCAAGTCGTGGACGCAGTGGACGCAGTAGTAACTTAGTGAGTACATCAGCCAGTTGGTCTTTAGATGAGACATGAGCTACTTTAAGAAAGCGCGATTGGACCATTTGCCGAACAAAGTGATAGTCTGATGTCGTGTCAACTGCGTGAATGAACAAGTTTTACCCTTAACAAAACAAATGAAAGCCGCAAGTGCACAGCTAATCAGTTGTAGTATTTAGGGATCGAATCCACAGGGATTTGTGTGCCTGGTATTCTTCTACGGTTTCTAACTTTATGTCTAGACTAAATTGGTTTTAAAGGTTGGTTGTTTATCACGAATTAAACTAAAACAAAAGAAAGCAAATAAATCTATCTTAAAAAGCAAGTAGAAAAATTGAATAGAAAGCAAGTAAAGCAAGTAAATATCGAACTAAGGCAATTGAAAAGCAGATCTAAATGAGCAAGTAAAAATCGATTGGTTTGTAAACTATGACTAAAAACGCTGGGCTTTTGGGAACTCTAAGGGATCATAATCGGTTTTGACACTAGGGTGGATAGATTGGGATTGACGGATATCGATATATAGGTGGTTCTAGAGCTAGAGTACGGCGGTATGACTACATCACTGTCGTGATCATAACCAACTGTTTCTCGTAACCCTGACCAGTAGGTTTCCACTCTGGCCCTGGAAGGGAGAGAACGCAAGAGCTGCACAAGACTCGTCAATACTCACGATCTCACCGCAGGTAGGTTTCCACTCCTACGGAAAAACCGCCTGATACTTAATGAAAACTTTCGCAACACTAACTATCTAGATCAGATACTAGGTGATCAACCAAGCATACATGCAATAAGAACAAGAATAAACAGAGAACAGGTCGAAATCCCAGATCTATAAACCTAGATGTCTTAATCGATTATGAGAGCCCCTTTCGGGAACCCTAAGCCCAACTTGGGATCTACTCAGACATAGCTGATGTCGACATCATCATTGGTTTTAATAAAAGTAATGAAAAACAGTAAAGAAAAGAGATGAAGAAAGCTTCTCTATTGAAGAACTCGGACTTGAACAATTTTCTACAAAAATCGCATAAAAACGGCTAAAGGAAAAGGGTTTCTGTAAAGTATGAAGGGTTCTCCCTAAAAACGACCTAAATGACAAGTATTTATAGTCTTCAATACTCCATGGTCTCTAGGGTTCCAGAATTGAGGCTGAGAATGACTTTGGGCTTCAGAAATATGGGCTTTAATTCGGAGCTTGATGGCCGCGGTCGGGAGTGACGTGACCGCGGGGATTTGGTGGTTGGCCGCGGTTAGGAGGCTTCTGACCGCGGGAAATAGGCTGTTGGCCGCGGTCGCGTGACTTGCTGGCCGTCTTCAAATGGCTCTGGGGCTAATGGAATATCTTGAGATCCAACCGTTGGAATGTCTCCAAACCAAGTGCATTTGAAATCTGATTGATTCTTCCATAAGTTGTCCAATTTTGAGGGTGATCAGACGGTGAGAAGGTCTTCGTGTCTCCATGAGAGTTCTGACGATCTGCATTTATCCAAAAGAGTCTTTTTGTTCCATATGTGCCTCTTTATCCCAGATTACGTGAAAAGTCTTTTAAAATCCGGAAACATAGAAATCCTTTGAAAACCTTTGAAAATGGAGTAAAAACACCTGAAAAGATATTAAAGTGATCCATAAAAATGGTCAAAATCCGGTGTTATCAACTCCCCTAGACTTAGTCTTTTGTTTGTCCTCAAACAAAACAAATGTTAAATCTCGGCGAGAGGTTTGAAAACACAGGAACTAAAAAAAATCTCAGAGACCAAACTTCTAGACCAATATCAATCAGTATGCATCAATCGGGAATAGCATAGAAAATTCTCACTAGCAATACAGGCATAACTAGTCCGTTAATCCGTCATGCAGAAATCTATGCACTAATATCTAACTTCCAGTCAACTAGCTCTTAACATTCATTAAAAATCTCGGAGGTTCTCATCAAAGAAAGTCTAGGCAAGGCAATCTAGGCTAGGTGTCAAAAAGGATTATTCTAGGGGTAAGGCTTAAAGTGTTTACGGGTTACCTGAAGATCTGGAGGATGCAGGATTTTATGCAAAACCGCAAGAGAGAGTGAAGCTGTAGGTATCCACAGTTTTCAGTCACTTTCTTCTTGCCATAGATTCCTGGTCTTCTTCCTCAGGTTCTCTCCTAACTCCCCCAGACTTAGATTTTTGTAAATCTTTCAAAACCATAGCTCCTTAAACGAATAGTGGTTGCTTGTTGCTCCACAAATTTCGTCAATCTAAGACTCATTAGGCTTTTTATTTTCCTCTCTCTTTTCATTCGTTTTTTTTTTGAAGAGAGGGAACACCTTTAGATATAGAGTCTTAGAGAGCACGAAATTACCAGTTAATATCTGTCTTGTAAAGCTTTATGAGGTTTCTGATACTCTTTGTGAGTGACTGAAAACTGCGTCGCTCCTCTTCTCTCCGACGTTTTTGCACATATCTGCTGATATAAACTAAAGAGAGAATGCATGAGGATTGAAAACAAGGGTTTTGGGTTTAATGTATGGTACCAGATAAAGATAAACTAGTCATCTAGGACGACAAAGAGTGGTAAAAGTGAGGGTAAAAGACGTCCTAGATGTGTATGTCGATGCCTGCCTAAAATCAATGATGAGAAAATTAGATGTCAATATTAAGGTCAAATAAAATGAGCTAGTATATCCTGTCAGAAAGAATCTCCATGAATAGAAGTCCTCTGGTGGGAGTTCGTAGTGCAAGTACTCTAGCTACCGCCTAGTCTAGTGCTAACCACAAATGAGCTATCATGCATAGTGTAGAAGTGTGCAGGTCTAAATCATAATAGTTTTGCGTCAAACATTCCTGAAAAATACTTAATGTCGAATAGGTTACATATTAAAATTTAAAAAGTGCTTGAAATTTAAAAGCAAAAGCAAGAAAATGATTAGTACGGATAAACATCCTCCCCCAGACTTAAATCACATTGTCCCCAGTGTAAAAAAGTTGGTGAGAAGATGGTGAATAAAAACAAAATAAACTAAGATAAAAGAAAAGAAAATGATGATAGAACCGTGATGGTAGTGAAGTGCTGATCAATCACTCATCCTCCGATGTGTCGTCTGCGAACTGGTGCTGCTCCTGTAGGAAGTTGACAACGCGCTCAAAGCGTTGTCCCTGTCTCTCAACTCTGCGCTCCAGATCATAATGTGTGTGCGATGATGTAGATGATGAGGTGTGGCCGGTCGAAACAGATGGCTGAAAGTGAGCACGGGCCGCAGCTGCATCGCGTTTTGCCTTGGCCACTATGTATTGGCCAATGGTGAATGGTAGACGAGGTACAGATGGCAGAAAATTATCGGGTTCCGGAGTCCATCGCGGACGTCCTCCGTTACACAATCTCGGGACTGATGGTGAAGGCAAGCTGACTCGGTGCTCCTCAGTGCCAGTGCAATACTTGTAACCAAACCTGTCTGGATCGAAAGCGGCACGAGAGATAGTGTGATCGCGAGAGAGATAAAGTAGGTCATACCAGACATCGGGAAGTGGATCATCAGATGAGAAATCGAATCCTACAGCCTGTAGTATCGCTGTAATAGCACTCCCGTAAGCTGGAGTAGCGTCCTCGCAACCATGTAAATCATGCTTCACCTTGACCATGTTCTGTGCTATGATCCAGGCAAAGCAAGCAAGTCGTGGGTCGTCCATAAACGGAATCTGAAGTGTAATGAGCTCAGTCTTCAAAACACATCCCATGTTGGCTCTAGATAAAATCGTGTGTGCTAAGAGTTTGTGCACAACCCTCACTGCTGGATGAGTAAGAAGGGCTGACTTGGATCTCCCGCTATCATAGACTCCATGACCCATCTCTCTCCACAAGTTAAAATCCGGTTCATCTTCAAGGTAAAT